GCGTAAAGTGGGGCTATAAGAGAGGGCCTGATGTCATGCCGGTGGAGGCTGAATAGCACCAGTCTATGAGAGAAAGGCCTTTTGGGAACGTGGACAGTGCCTAATTGGATGAGGATTTCATTGGGCTGCTTGGGAGCACTGGTCTTATGCAATGGCATAGATGAATGGACGGAGCTTGGGAGCAATTGTGCTTGTGCACAAAGTTGGCTGTAATGGTGGCCCCCAGAGGGCTGCGTTAGATGGATTTGCCTTCTCATGACGCCATCTTTACTACACCTGCCGGTAGCACATAACCTCTTTCTATGACTGATGCTGTGAAATACAAAGAACTGTTGCATTAAACCTCCTTTTAGTCAAGAACGTAAAGCTTTGTTGTGGCATGGCGTCATTATCATCTACGACAAGAGGAAACATCAAACCCAAATGAAACTGACCTTGTCGGTAAAACATTTAACTGGTATCAGAAAAGAGCTGGAGTTCTATGTGACCCCTTGAAGAGAAAGGGGAACAGGATTTATTTGGCTTACTTACTCTAAGGAATGCTAACAAACTGTAGCTGAAAATCATATTAAAAAGGGCTTAACGAAAGTCCTGTTCCTAAATAGCTAAGTACACGAGTCTAAGCCCTGATCGCTTCTAAGTCTGGGTATAATACTAGAAAACCAGAGGGCAGAAAATGCAATTATGTACAACAAAATACGTGCATACATGGTCAGAAGTGCTGTATTTGGAGCGTGAGAGGGAATCAGAATTAGGTTTAGGACAGTGCTATATTTCAAGAACAGAAACATGCCCGTGTTGTCGCTATGGGAATTATTTCTGGGGGGGGGGGGGGGCCTTTTTGTTTTTAACGGTACGGTACATCTACTAAAGCCAACTAACCATGGTTTGTTTTGATTTGGCATTGCAGATTCCAGCTGGTGAGGTGAGACAGACAGACAATCAGGCAGTTAGAGGGACAAAGAGACAAAGATAAACTAAGGGACGACAGATATGTAGAGATAAAGGCAACAGAACACAAGAGCAAGGGTACAAATGGCGTACATGTGTGTGTTGGAGCAGTGTTTCCCAAAGTATTTTTGTGGGGACCCACTTTTTAAAATGACAAACCATCGCGACCCAATTCCCAATAGTCTATATATCCATCATGAGGAGAGCGAATCTGTGCGTCAATGAACGTCCCTGACCATTTTTACTGCCATTTCCACATCACCTTACATTATCTTTAAGAGATAAACCAGCCATGTCTAAGAGATATACGGTTTATATAAGTGATTGCGTGTTATTAAAAACATACACACACCTATAATACCTTAAAAATAGGACATACATCATTCTTTTCGTTTCCTGTCATCGGTGAAACAAACGCCAGCCTTTCACATCAGACAAAATGTTAGGCTACAATTATAACAATACGAATGTTCAGGCTCCCTCGTGTGGCTCAAATGTGGACTGCAGATATAAATGTTAAATAAAACACTATGGAAGAAATTCTGCCATTTTATTTGGCAAACCAAATAAAATCTCCTGCGTCTTTGTGACTGGCGGCGTTAATGAGATGGGTTTCGTCTGGCACATCACCGTGCCTCCACACCACATTACCTGTGGCCACCCGAGCATGTGGTCCCTCAGGTGTTCAGTTACCTACAGAATGAAGGCAACATTCTTGTCTCTCACGCAGGCTTGGGTTTCAGCCACATTTGGACTAACACCAGAAACTTTGGTGGTTTGACAAGCGAGCATTGCATCACCTTTGGTCACAAGTGAAAGCGGGGAGAATCGGGTCTGTATAGATCCATATTTACAGTACGGAGGGGAGGATGAATAATAAAACCACAAAGTTTTCCTCTGGCAAGGATTTCACTTCTGTCCTGACTCCTAACTCAGCAGGACATGATTACTCAGCAGTTACACTTGAGATACCAAGAACATAAAACATTAATTGGCCTGTGATGTCAACAATAAGCGGTCACACGAGTCTTAAGAACTATTAACTTGTGGGTTGAAACAATCTAAATAGAAAACATGTTGTAGCACGCTTCAAGGCCAAGTATGTGGTAGGCCAAACATTTTAACAGAAGAGAGAGGAGTATTTCTAGAAATTAAAACTTAAGTTTGTATTGTTTATGCAACAATACAAACTTAACCTTTAGCCAAAATACAAATAGCAGTCCCTGACTTCGGTGGTTTACTTTTTGACCACTGACAGCCAGCTGAGCGTTTTGGTACAGATGTTGAAGTGGCTCTGCTTTCCCGCCGGAGTCAGTCGACTGACATGAGCTGTGCTGCGGTCCCCCAGCAGGCTTGGGTTAATGGTGTCATGACATCAGGGAGGGGGTATTAACGGTGTATAAGCCTAGACTAACTACTGCTGGATGACTGCTGGCTGACGCAAGACCCAATGGAATGATGCCTGGAGCAAGACCACAAGCTCTTATACCGCCAGAACCAGCTAAAAGGATATCTCTGCCACTTTGCCCCATAGACGGCAGCTGAAACTATAGGCATACAAGCGAGGGCGACCAACCTCGTGTGCATCAAGAAAAAGTGCTTAGGTTGAAAACGAGGCTCCGGTTTTTGGTTATGCAAGAAATCTCAGGAGTGATCACTGCCAAGCACACAGTATTTCAATCGAAAACCGCTGGAGTACGAGCAGCAGCAGCAACAGACTTTCTCGAAAGACAAAACAGACAGGCCTGAATCCTCGAGCGACTTGAGTATAGCTCATTGTGAGTATAATTATGTGCAATAAGTGCAGTCAGCAGCCCTTTGGCAGCCTGCAGTCTCGCAGAGTTCATGCCCCGTCATGCCTGTGCTTACTGAGCATGGACTTGAAATAGCAGGACTGGTACTGAGAGAGGAGAGGAGGGGGGGGGGGGGAGCCACAGCAAGAGCGGTTGTGCACGGAGATGTGACCACAACATAATTAAATGAAATAAATAATTGGGAAGGGGCAAGGAAAAGAGGGATCCTCTCTGGCTATAAATGGGAGAGTGTCGGAAAAATTGCACGCTTGAAAAGACACAACTATGGCATGTTTTAGACCGTGTGTAGCAGCGGCCGCATGATCACACTACTCCACATATAACCACACTTTAGAGGTTAACACGCAGGCAGGACCGCGCTTGTGTGCAGTAAAGTGCTCCAGTGTTTGCTGCCTAGTTGAGTGGTGTATCAGTGACTCCAGCAAAAGTTGCTCAGTGAGCTCCTTCATCATGAAACGTATGTTGAAGTTACATTGAAGACATATTAATACATTTAAGTACATATAGGGTTTTTAATAATCCAATAGCAATCAAGCCAGTAAGTGTTGAATGACTGCATGCACTCAAAATCACCAATATTAAGACATGGTTCCAGCTTGGTCTTGGTCCCTAGCCACCTATGGAAATGGAAGATCAATAGCTCTGCCTGTTGAGCTGACAAACTCAAATTTAGTGTAACACAAAACTTGAAAACTCAGAGAGACCTTTATCCCAGGACTCCAACAAGTTTATCCCCTGACCGAACAGATTCGGGATGCATCCCCTATACAATCTTACCACGTGCATCAGTCCCTACACAAATCCTTCCCTGATCTGCATTGTGAACACTCAGGGCAACATCGATATAGTTCCCAGAATAATAAATTGTGTTGGTTATGCAACTTTCTGCCGAGACCACTTGCAGCCAATAAAGAGATTGATTTGGAAGGGTGCCTAAATGACAGGGCAGATTAGAGCACGCATATCTACGAGTTTCTCTGTCAAAACCTTTACACATGAAGTTAGATTAGATAATGATCTCTCTCGCATCCATGCACGCGTTCTATTAGTATTACCATCATTTTAAACAGGGTTCCTCACAGTATCGTACAGCTGAGAAATAATATTGCATCGTTGACTTAAAATGAAGTCGGCTTTTGTTGCAAATATCACGACCAAAGAACAGGAGAGTGGTGCACTGTATACGGGCAGCCTTCGGTGGGCATTCACGGTATTTGGGCAAAAGCTGAATTTAGTGAAAGGCTTTAAGGTGAGTCAGTACGCCAATGATTCCGAAAGATTTTCACGTCAAGCAACTCACATCATGGAGTTCAACATGAGAAAACTTCCCAACACACTCCCTCTGGGAGTGCTGCTGAAGTCATATATTGATTCAGTACTCCAGACCTGCCTAACAAGTGCACTGATAACGCTTCTTACAGTCCGCTCGGTAATTAAAAACGTTTTTTTCTCGAATTGTGTTAAAACTGTGGTTGTTTTCTAAACTGATTCAACTCAACAATTCCTCACTTTACTGGGGACACCCCTGGAACCCACCCACGGATCCCCTGGGGGACCCCGGAGCCCACTTTGGGAACCACTGCAGTAAGGCTGCGTGAGTATTCCTGGGAAAACGCCCCCCAAAAGCAAATGCTGGCAAAAGGATAAGGCGATAAAAGGAGACTGTCGAAACTCTCACAGAACAGAGTGGGTGGGGGGGCAGCGCGGGGAGCTGGAGTCCTACTGGATATAAAGTAGGCTATGGGCCAATGTAGACTGTTGTTACGCAATCGTAAACAAGACAGGCTGTTTGTATCCAAATATTGTTCCCCCAAGAGACACTCCTCACCGTAAAGGTGCAGAAAAGTGCACGTGATTCTGAAGCGTATCAACACGCGTTACCAACCCCGGAACAGTCCACGGTGGAGGCGTCCCACTAGTGGGAACACGGTGAGGTGAATACAGTGGAATGCAACAGCCCGATCTTATGAATAAACTTGTTTTCAAAGTTCAATGACGGTTTTTTTTAGGGAGGACATGCGTAGACCCAGGGTCCCGCTAAGGCGGTTGTGCGCAGTGCCAGTCCCGCACGTGTTCCGACCCGAAAAAACAGTGCGTGTCATCACAACAGCGCGTTCAAACTTTTTTTTATTACACGCGCTCACTGCCCACTCTCAGCGGACTTTTTATTCCCATACCCCCACCCCACAACAAGGAGCATAAGAACATCGCCTTCATCCGGTAACATGCACTCACCTAACAGCCAGATCAGTTGAGGCAGTCTACGACCCTCCGAGAGAGACGCGGAGGGGCGGTCAGGAGATGAGGGGGGGGCACTCAGGCGGCGTTGGATCAGACCACGGTGGTCAACATTCCCGGACTGGACAGATACACAGTGGCAAGAAGAGGAGGAGGCGAGAACTGTGGCCGCAAAGACTGCAGGCAGCTCATCTCATGCTGCCGGGGAGGATACACACACACACACACACACACACACACACACACGGACACGCACGCATGCACGCAGACGCACACGCGCGCACACACGCTTGCAAACAACACCTCCCCCCTTGAGAGTAGACCACGCCCACAAGAGAGGGGCGATTAATGCGGCATTCACGTCTTGTGGGAATAATGGCGTTGTTCGGAGGATACCGCTGTTGCGTTTGAGGCAGATACAGCAGATCTAAGGGACAGGTTACTTAAATATACTTAATAGTAAGCAGTTAAACCCTTTGGACACTGATTTAGGGGATCCCACATAATATGAGCTTGACTTTGGTCCGCCCAGGTTTAAATGACCTTGTTAAATTCAAATTGTATTTACATTTACATAGGACATAAGTGATATGAAAGCAAGATGGGAGATATAATGCGTATTGTTTACTTAAAATGGGAGTCTTGGATGTTCAGCGTAAATCTACCGCTGTTTAATGAGGACCATGTAAATAAATATGACTCAAACAAAGTTAGGACAGTTGGTGAACAGTAAATGTTTTCATAAACTGGGTAAATGTATATGTTAACTGGCTGTAGCAAAGGGGCAAATGTTCCTGTATTTATATGTCAGTGTTACAGATTATTACCTAACAATAACTTGTTAGGTAATAAAGTTGATGACCAAGGTGGTCACATGTCGAGAATGAAGTATGACACACCATGAGACTAAAGTTAAGGTCAACACTCCACTTTCAACTAAAAGTCCTGCTCTGATAAGCACAATCACATATCAAAACACTCGTAGCTGTGAGGTATGTCGATTGCACAACTGGGGGTCTGGTGCAAACCTCATTGCACCAGAGTTAACTTCCTGGCACTGTTGTGTTTTGATCCTTCTTAGCCTTGTAAGGGCATTGCATAAGACCTTCGGATGTTTATGTGACCGACAGCAACAGGTGTAAATTCAGCTCAAGTGTTATTGGAATTTAGACTGGTAACTATAGTCGAAAACATATCGAGATAAATAAAACATTTAGGAGTGACACGCACCGAAGGCAATGACTTGAATTGAAGCCCACGGCATTGTCGGATAAAGCTCTGCCTCGGGCTTAAGTGACACCAGTGACACTGTTCCCCTTTATTTTTCATGCATGCGATATTTCAGACTTGGATTAGCTTTAAGTGATGAGAACACACCATGGGAGTCTTCAATGCCAAAGGTCATCATTCCTGATATGTGTATGAGTCTGGATCAGGACAACAGGGGGCTCACACTGTGTCCCCTCAGTGTGTAAACACATACCCACGCACACATTCAGAGAGCAGACATTGTGCAGCCATTGCATCACACACACACACATAAAACACACATTATCATGTCACTCATATTCAGGGTGCCACAAAGCATTCTTCTTGCGAGACTGGCGAGGAGACGTAAACTAAACACACATTATGTTGATTTGGCCTCATCAGACATTCAGCATCGCACAGGGCCTTTTGTTGCAATTGATTGATCAGATACAAAGTAGACTACCCAACATCAGAAAACAAACCCCTGCTGATGGTCGGTTTCGCTGTGTCCATCACTCATAGGTCGGCCAGTTAAGACTAACAAAGCTGTGTAATGTAAGCCAAGGCTGTGGGGGAACAGCTTTCTCTAAAGTGGCCTGCCTTAGGCCCAAAAAATGTGAAACCGTTATGGCAACAAACTAACCAATAAGGTTGGTAAAGGCATAACTAAAGCCAAACCTAAATTGAATCATTTCTGTTCTACAATGTGGTGTGATCTTCTGGTAATCCTTGATCCAGATGTTGTTTACGTTGCCAGTATGGTTAAAATGGTTTGGAACTGTAACACAGACACAAGCTCGAAACACACGCACATACTCCCAACAAGAATATCACTCACACCCACCCACACACAGAGACATCCACCCAGCAGTATACGCCCTTCAGAGATTTGTAACGCAGATTAGAACGACTGTAGAGTTTTGACCCACAAAGGAGCCTGTGGTCCTGCAGGAATTTACAGCACTCTCCGGGCCAACGCAGCCAAGATCGCCCTTACACACCGACTCATTCCACTGCTGGAATTCACTTAACATCCCTGGAAACCAAGACATTAAATTGCAGTAATTCCCATTTTATCTGGTAACACCTTTGCGGTCAAAAATAAGATAGCTATTTAAAGATAAGTATTTGTTTCTGGTGGGCGAGCCGATCGTTTTATCTCACTCGACTTTCTCTCAGACCTCACACACATGCCAGCCAATGAGATGATTTTAACCACCGGACTAATGACAAGACATCTGAGATTAATCCACCTATCTGCACTGTGTATTTCCGTGTGGTTTTGCAATTTATGTGGATATTTGCATTATTCAGTTGCTTCTGGGGGGGAAGCTGGAGGGGCACAATGACTAGTTTTTCGGGAATCAGGAATGCAGGTTTGGTTGAAGTTCTGTGAGAGTCATTTCGTGTGACCACATAGTGATGAGTCAGGGGCATGAGCTGCTGCCTGGAATAGTAGCTCTTCTGTGGTGTGGCAGAGAGAGAGAGAGGTTGCAATATAATTCATAAAGGACAGCAGGATGACCACAGTCTGCATCCGCAGTGCATGGGAATGGCACAGGCACATCAGAACGAAGCTTTCCACAGCAAGGTTCATATCTAACATTTGTCCAACTGCTACTTGAGAGGGAAAGAAAAAAAAATGCAGATTCTTCTTATATAGAATGGAATGTCAGTTTTCACTTGATTGCAAAATTGTTTATTGAATCAAAAAATGAAGGCAGGCAAAAAATGTGCAACCTTCCGAAAAAACAATGTGCACTTAAAACTTAAAAAGCAATAGCTTATAAAAGGTTCACACTATCAGTGAAATGGCTCTCTATCAAAGATTTAATCAAATCTTTCAGGGCGGCAATCTTTCTTTAGTGTGCAAAATATACAATGCGACAACGTGCTGTAGGCTATTGTGTGTAGATGAAACCATCTAGCAGAAATAAAATGGTCCCTTCTAGTTAGAGAGAAAGACAACAACAAAAAGCTCTTCAGGTTTTTACTCTCGTGTTGAAACATAAAATACTAAAAGTATTTTTGAGCTTTGAAACGGAGCATGAATTAACATTAATCTCAATAAAATTAAGACTTCAAGTCCCTTTGCTCAGATTTATCTCACAATCCACAGCAGCAAGCATTTACACCTGAATATGGACGCTCTAGTAGTCTCCATTCTACGGATGATTCAGGATGGATATCCTTCTTTATCCACAGTGATACCATTTAATGGCTGTGGTCCACTCTCTCTACCAACCATAGCTACTACATACTGTAAACTTCACCTACAGCTGAGCACAATGGAATACAAAAACACTCGATCAAAGCCATAGATAACCTAGACTACTGCTTTCCTACGACTGGTGGTTTGTATTACAAACCATTACATACTAGTAGTGACTTGTTGATTACTTAAGTGATGTCTTTGCTCATGGTGACACCCACCATTGATAGACGTCAATAACTGCTTCAAAAATGTTGAAATGTCAAGGAAAGGCAAGGTTTGTCTTAGTTTCTCTAACACATCTAGTTACATCGAAGGCGCGGTCAGTCGTATCGCTACAGTACAAGTACACGTTTCTGCAGAGGGCACTGACCGTGTAGGACAATGTCTTTAGAGTTTAAACAGCAGCACAAAGGTTAGAAGCTGGAACAGGAGTATATTGAGCTGAAAGGCACGAGTCAGTCACCACCATCTTACTCCTCCTCAGAGCCAAGAAGTGTAGAAGTTGGCATCATGGACCAGATCCGGATCAAATACACTTTTACACAATAAAATCAAACATTTTTTAAGTGTACTTAAGTTTTTCAGTAATCGTAATTTCTTAAACAAATATTAAGTAGTTCAAATCTGGAAAAAAATCATCAGATCCAACTTATTGCACCCCTTATAGAATTCTTTACAGCAAACACAATATACATAACACTGACTGAGCAACAATATAAGGCATCCATAACTTAACTGTGATAAAAAAATAAAAACAAACAGATCAGAACTAAAGAAAAAAGAAAGAAAGATCTGAAAGTAGCATAAACCATTTAAATTAGCTTTCATTGGCACACAGTTTGTACAACGTTCCAGTTAAAACTACTGAATTCAAATACAGATGGCACGATTTAGGAACAGCGATTATGTCATAAAGATGGACATAAACCTTTTCCAAAGCTGTTGTTGGAAGCTAACTGAGAGATCTGATAATATGAGTGGAATTACCTGCAAGCCTTCCACCTGTAACACCTTTATCAGACAGATGTTAGTGGTGTTTGGAGAGCAACATACAGGCAGAAGTGTTTAAATCATTCCTTATGCTAACTTCCTTGCACATTAGTGCATCAGTTTAAGTAAAGGGCGCAGACCGGTAGTAAGAGCGGTGAAGCCCTATTTCTATAATCTAGTTTACCTGGATGGTATGTAGAAATTACTCTTTATTCTTATATTATTTATTATTTGTGTCACGCATCATATAATATAAAGTTCCCTAAAACGTTCAAATAGCTCTCACTCCAAAAAAATGTCACTCAAATATCTGTTGCAAAAAGCACAATGACAAAAAAAAAAAAAAAGAGAAACTGAAATGAATCGATAACAACTATAAATGTTGTCCTTGTTGCGGTCATGTCGGCTTCCCCCGCTATTGCCGAGGGAGCGTTGAGGAGGTTGATTGGATTGTTCCCAGTCTGCCATTCACTTGGACTGTCTTTGTGGGCGCAGCGACCTAGTTAAAGGAGACACAACATGTCATGTTTGTAATTCCCCCACTTTGGCAATGACAGAGGGTAATAGATCATGGCAAGCTGGAAAGAATACATCAGGTTCTGTGGTTTTGTGACGTCTAACTGGATATAGAAAAAATTGCCTAAACTTAAAAGATTTTCATGAGTGAATGTATACCTCATCCAATCTGAGCAATGTCAGAACTTGTGTGATTATTTTCCTTATTTTTCTCCTCCTAACACTCTTCATTCTTCGCTGATTTAAATGACGGATGAAAACGTTTCTGTCAACTCGAATTTTTGCACGACTGCTGACCTGAAATTGAACTTCATCTCCTTGGAAATATTCACACAGCGGTACAGTTATGTCAGATGAATCTGTGCGAACGTGTTTCAATCTGCGACTCATTTACAAGAGAGCTTTGTTCTTTCTGCCAACGGTTGCTTCCAACTACGCAAGTGTGTGTCTCATTTTTTCCTCCCTCCTTCTCTTCTTTAATAAGAGTCTCTCTGGGGGAAATCATGCCATCTTGTGCAAGATATCCATCCCTTGCTGTGCTAATGCTACATTTTTATTTGCTTAGGCTGTCTTTGTTTTGTTCATTTTCTCCCTCTTCTCGCTTACAGATAGAGATTTTGGAAACCAGCAGCCTCTAATGCCATTTAAATGTTTAAGTGTAACTCTATACCCTCATCACTGCGCTTTCATGAAGCAGCTGTAGAACAGTACTAATGCAGAATAGGTAAAGGATGTTGGAGAGTTCTGCGACAACTTTCACTCAGTGGTGTAAATAAATGCTGTATATTTCTGTATTTGTACCTTTTTTAGCCTCTCAGAAGCAGATCCAGAGCGAATGGCCTCCAGCATAGCCTCCCTGGCCAAGGCAGGGTTCGCGGGGGTGTTAGCACCTGGATGTGGCACAGTGCTAGGCTTACCCTGGGGCAAGGCAGGGGGAGGAGGTGGAGGTGGCGGGGTAAAGACATGAGGAGAAGTGCCAGTGAAAGAGGGAGGAGAGTGAGAAGGAGGGGAGGGGCCTGCAGCTCTCTCAGAGGTCACTTTCCTGAACTTCACAAGCTCGTCAGCCGCCTCAGATTTGGTCTGTGGGACACAAAGGAGTGAGACGATGGTAACTCCAGACACACAAACATAGACAGGAGCTGTCACATGTGTACATTCACACTCATGGCCTCCAACGTCAACCTCTGACACATATACAGATATACTTTTTGTTCTGTTCTGCTCCTCCTGCATTTTTGAAGTTTTTTTTAATTCATAGTTTGAGTTTGTTGTTTATTTTAGTAACTCCATTGCACATAATTATCCAATTTTCTTCATTCAATCACGTTTTTTGGATGCATTTTTGACTCTCCTATAGTCATGCAGCATTCCAGAGATTCCACCTCTGGCGAGGAACCTCCGGAATAGAAGTGCAGATGTTTCAGCTCCAGCAGCACGTTTTCATTCCGCATGGATCGTTACATGACAGCAAGCCACAGAGCTCACAGTCCACACAGACAGATGGGAATAGACACTCATGCTTGCTTAACTTCTTGGTTCATGCATGTTTCTGTGAGCCGCTAACTAGCTAACAATACAGAACAAGAGTGTAGCATTCACATTTTCTGATAAACACACTTCCTATTCTCAATGTAATTGCAATAAAGTTTGTTCTCCATATACACCCACTAGTATATAGCCACACTAGCGGCTCTGTGAGGCTGCACTTAATGCTTTAGTAAGACGTATTTGACCTTCCTCAGCCTTCCGGAGCTGCTCTGGGCTCTAATGGCAGTCAGAAGAGAAGACCTCTCATCCTCCTCCTCAACATAAGAGGATTTCTCCATGCTGCTGAGACCAGAGGTGGTTATCTAATAATGAAATAAACAGAGGAAAATCAATACACCGTTACCTTTCTTGTCTTGTTAAGAATATAGTGTTTCCATTACTGGCGGATGGGTAAATGATACCCACGTAGTTTTCTTCCAGTTGGCATTATAATGACACTCTCGTTATCATCAACACATCCATCCATCCCTCCCTGCACTGTGCTACGTTTATCTCACCTTCTTGAGCCTGTCTCTGGCTCCGCCTGTCTGGATTGCCTCCATCAGGCTGCCGTGGAGAGACGAGTCTTTCTCAATAGACCTAGAGATCACTGGTCTGAACTTTTGAACCGGCCCAAACAAGGTTACTGGCGGAGGAGGCGCAGGTGTCACACCTTTGTCTGACACGGTGACAGAAGGTTGTGGTTTTGCATCAGCTGTTAGATGGGTGGCTGCCTTGGTCGTGCCGCTCGTGTCCTGAAGATGAAGATGTGGAGTATTGAGTACATTGTAATTCACAGTGACAGTTAACATGATACATTTTTTATAATACAGGTTTTACTCACACTCATCCGGCCTTGGGATACAGTCTCGGGAGCTGTGTGTGTTTTGGCAGATGAGAGTAGAGGGCTGCTTTGTGCGGGGCTGGGGCTTCTGAGTCGAATTTGTTTAACATCAGTGATGTCATTACTGGCGATCGTGTTTTTTGGGGCGGGGTGCTTATTCACGGCTGTTTCTGTTTCCAGCGTATTAGAGCTTCCTTTGGTGGATCCAATACAACTTCCAAATCGTCCCCTGTCCGATCTCACTTCTCCGTGATCGCTCTGGATATCTGAAACATACTCCGGGTAGCTCATAGACCTCTTCGGATAAGGTGGGTTGGATTTAGAAGCCGAGTTATTCTCCTTATTGTCTGACAAAGACGACTGGGACGATTGCTGTGGATTCACTGTTATGGACCGACCTGATCTCTGGAAACCGATAGCCTGTGATTTCAAGGAAGCAGAGGAGTCATGTACATTAGGGATAGAGTTGGGTTTAGTGGAGGGGTGTATTTGGTGCTTTGGGGTGTATTTAGTGATGGCGGACGCCACGTATTGGCTCGAGGTTCGCCTGGACAGTTTGAGAAAGGACAGGTCTGTTTTCAGGTCCGGAAGGAAAGGCGGGGGGAGGGCAGGTTTATTACTTGGCTGTTGAACGTTTTTGGACACTGAGATCTTGCTCTCGACCTCTACCCGCTCTTCTTTTGCAACTGTGCCGGCTCTCACTGGTTCTTTAGCTCCTTCTTTGACCACCTCTTTAGGCTGGGCTTTCGCTGCATGTTTATAGAATGAATTATGCCTCGTTTTTAGGTCCTCAGCGTCACTGCTTTTCAAAGCTGTAACTGCGATTGCAGAGGGAGTACTTTTCAGGCCATCTGTGCTCTCTTTAGCCTTTTCAATGAGATCTTTACTGTGGGGCACAGAACTTTCTTGTCTCTCATTTGAGCTCCAGAAAGCTTTGGCTTTTCCAAGAAGAGGAGAGCCCTCACTGGAATTAATTCCAGACTCTGACGAACCACCAACACTGCTCCGTGAGATACCCCCTTTCACCATGTTTCCTTGATCGTCAATCTTAATGGCACCGACAGTTAATTTGACAGCTGGCTCTCCCGTAGCAGCATGCATGACAGCGGGTTTGGGAGGGACCACAGTGAAGGTTTTCATACCGAAGCGGGATGTGACGTTACGGGTGATTTTACCGTGTCTAGTGTTTGTGCTGGAGTTGTTTTGGTAAACCCTGTGCATCTCTTCATCTCTCTCCGCAGACACCGATCTCTGACTGGTCGGTGGAAGAACGGATTTCTTCTCTTGAAAGGATTGAGCGGTGCTTTTCACAGGATCAGGTTTGATCTCAGCGCCCTCGCTGTGTTTCCGAAGCTCAACGTTAGGTTTCACTGCCGATGTTGTTCTATGCTCCTTCACACTGTTGGTGTTAGTGGTGCTCATCTCTTTCATTTTTGTTCCCAGCATCTTTTTTTCCTTTTTCTCGGCTATAGACTTGTTCTCCAGGGACTTGCTGTGCTGTTCGGGTTGAGACGGCTGCTTAGCACTCGCACTGCTGCTTTTATTACTGTCAGCAGCTGTACAAGCATTGTTGTTTTGGTTCTGTGGCTCCACACTGGACTGGTGACAAAAGACCGGACCTGTGATAAGTTAGGGTAAGAAAAAGTCAAATCAAAATATAATTACAACTCATAACTGTTTTCTAACAGTATATTGTATTGAAACCACTGAGCCTGAATAAAGGCACACCATGTCAACAACACGATTAAAAGCACTCATGTCTTTGTGGACTTTGACATATTTGTCATCGTACCCTTTCTGCCAGCTGGCTCAATCCTGGTTCGTGACGTCGTCTTCTTTTCTACAATGTGACGTTCATAGTCCTCCAGTACTTCATCTATGGCTGTGACTGGCACATCCATGTCCACTACAGACACAGGCACCTCATTACTATCTGTTGACATGGTATAGGCGGTATCCCTCGATGACACTACATCTATGTGATCTGGAAAAGGGGAACAGGTCAAGGAGTTAATACATAATACTTGTACTTTGGACACATTTTGATTTTTAAGAAGGTTACCATGGCTATTACTGGCTATTACCGAGTTTGGAATAGTCACTTGTCGTCATTGTGGAGTACAGTCATGTCAAACTGCATATTCGTAAGATTACTTCATCGATATGACAAATGTAGAGTTGCAATGTTAAGATGGTCAACAGGTTTAATCCTTTACTGAACTGTATACATTGACTCCAATGTTGGAGGCATGTACGCCTCAACTGACAGGACACCTCCATGAAAAAAATGTATAAATCCAGACAGTTTAGGATTATAGGTGGACTGTTGCCATTGATGACACTCACCTGCAAGGTGCGCTTCAAAATCAGCCAGAGTCTGATGGAGCTGGGCGGTGAGCTCTGGGTCATCTTCATAGCAGTCTTTTAACCTGCCTGACTTTGCCTGTGGGCTAACGTCATTGTGTCTGAGGATGGCACACAAAAAACTTGTGTCACAAACACATCTGCACACACACACACACACACACACACTCCCCAAAACATTGGAAATGTAAAAGAGGGATTGGTAAGTAGAAGCAGCCATGATACAGCACTCCCCATGACTCTATAATTCATATTATTTATTCTCATTAGTAGAAGAAAGAAAATAAATGGGAGTTTTAAATATTCTTTTGCTTGTTCAAAGTTGAATTTCATTTATTTTAGAGCCTGTTGGCTTAGAAACATGTAGCTGTAAAGATATTATTGCCACAGTTTGGACTTCCTTCACTCTCTTCAAGGGTTCAACAGAGCAGTCTCATGACTTACTGGCATATTAGCTATAACAAATTGCAACAAAAAGTCCAAACCAAATAGAAGAGACTTGGATTGGTCCTCTTTTCCTCAACGATTCTGAGAAAACAGGGTCATAGTGCTTTCATGGAATACCGAGGAGCCAGCAGCATCAGGCCAGGCCATGGATTCACAAAGAATTCTCTGAGAAATCAATCCAGGATCCCTGGTCTGGCCATATTACCCGTACCCATATCACAACAATGAGAAGGTGAAAAGTGATCTGGGGCAGCATTTGAATAAGGGCCTAGAACCATAACTATGAAAGCCCGGCAGGCTTTGACTGCAACTCAATACAACACATGGCGGGTTTATGACTACTGGCACAGTTAAAAACTGTAGAAAGACTTCCAACGTCAGCTGAAACAGTGACGTTTTACTCTTCAGATGAAAATACAGGTGCAAAACTAAACTGAATAAATGCAAGAATCTAACCAATCATTTGTTTTATTGCGGGTATTAATTATTGGTGGTTAGTATGGCTCAGCTCAACAGCAAGGTGACTGGCACATGTACAATATATTCATCCCTTCCAGGAAACTTTAAAATAAGAGGTGACAGCAATGGGAAAGATTCAAGCATTCTTAATACGCCTCACCATCTTAAATGAGACCTTCCATCATCTTGATGGCCAAATATCACAAATTGGATGAATACAGATTTACATTATGTGCTTGTCAACATCATTCTACTTTCCTTCCTCCCTCCTGCTGACCCCTACTTCCACGCCTCCTCCTCCTGTGATTTTCATGACTTCCTCTCTACCTGTGTCTTGATCCCCAGGTGGCACATCCCTCGTCGCTGTCACTGGAATTGTCCCGCACCGGTCCCAACAGTCTCTCTCCTCCGCTGCTTCCGTCCAGAGACAAACTCCCATCTGGGGATGTGGGTTGGGTGTCAGATGGAGAGCTGACCATGCCCGAGTCCTCGCCCTCTACCATGCCCTCAGAGGCAGCGTAACCCTGGTCGGGCAGGCTGCTGCCACCGCTGGTGCTGCTGCCCAAAGACACGGTCTCCTCCTCGGGGGTTTCAGTTTCTGGTTTCCGGCAACTGGCTGCGGAGCTTTGCATGGAGTGCAGCCAAGCTGGGAGAGGATAGAGATATATGGGCTGTTATCACTGCCCTGTTAGCAACTTCAACATCCAAATCAAACAAAACGTTAAGGCCTCATTTCTATTTCTCAAAGCCACAAGCCTTAAAGACTTTTCCTACCTGGGAAAACACTAACAAAAAACGGCACAACAAATCATGAGGACATTTGTTTGAAAAGAAGCGCAGGATGCAGAGGGAGCAAGAAGTGCAGGAGATGGAAGAAGACAGGAAGTATTTATGTTAGTTTCAACATTCATTCTGACACCACACACACACAAACCAGAAATCACAGGCCAAATATACAAACACTAGCCCAGAGCACAGCCACCTGTGGCTTGATAAACCAACTTTAATGATGTGTGGGTGGACTTACTGTAAACAAACCCTTTTAATTAGATTTTTACAGTGCTGTTTTAGGTTCCAGTGAAAGATAGTATTGCTTCATACCCTCTCATCTCTTCAGTACAGTCATGCTCCGGTCTGCCCCGCAGGATTTGGGGAACGTATTTAGTCGGTTACTGATCTCATTGAACTCTAGGCCAAGAGAATAAAAAAAATGAATGTACCATTTGTTTTCAGCAGCCCAGCCAGCATGCACAGCACTGGGAACTCAACGGGGGATTCTTCAAAATGGGTTCAACAGTTAGCAACCCTGTAATACCAGGTGTCTGAGAGTGTGTGCATGCATTTGGGCATGCATTGTGCTCCAATACGTCTCCCTGTGTGTGTGTGTGTGTACTAGGCCTGTCAGTTTTGGACCCGGTCCTAATGGTGTGGAGAGAACAGTCAGTTCCAGGAGATGTGGTGATGACTCACAGGGCTGTCCTCCCAGCTCCTTCCCAGCAACAGCTTAGTCATGCCAGCTACAGCCACAATCAGCTCACACACACACACACACACACACACACGTACACACGCACACACAGTTCTCAAACTTCGAAACTCAATATGACCGTAGGCACACACTTCAGTTAAAGCCAAACGAAAAGTGTTGCAGGCAAATCCATACTGTGACGTGTTACTTGTCCAAATCAAACCATGGCAATCCATGCACGATCCCAAACCAAAGTCCTTGAATCTCGGTCCAGTCTTCAACTGTTTAATTGAAAAAAAAATGGCTTTCAAACATATGTTCTGTTTTTCCCAATCACAACAGAGATTGCCTTTACAGATAAATGTGTGTTCATCAATGAGTACACGTGCCCTCACTAGGCTAAACATTTGCACCAGAACTCAAAGGGTTAGCACTTGCAGAGGACAAATCATAGTCTACATGCATAAACTGATTAGGATCTGTGACACCACAATGGTTGCATTCGTATGGTAACAGAACAAGTCATGTGATAAAAAACAAGGGCTCCCTTCCCTTACCACCGTTACCACACATTTTGTATTTTTTAACATGAAGGCTATCTCATAATATAGAGCTTAAAGATGAACACGCACTGCTAGGATGATGCGGTCTTCCCTTAAAGCCAGGTGTCTGTGAAGGAAGGGTGATTTTGGATCACTACCAATCATTTAAAAACAAACCGTGAAGCATTCATGCAGCTACAAGCCTCCACACTACTACTAACAAAAGTCCTACAGCAAATCAGTGTGTAGTGTCATTTTCTTTTCTAAAATAACTGATGTGAGTTCTCCTTGGGGAAAAGGTCTTTCATCTCATACACTTATCTTTAATGCATGAGGCACCGCGACCCTAAAAGCAACATGTCATTGATCGATTACCCTTTCCATAATGTTGCCAAAAGCAGCACACATTCAGGGCGTACGATTTCTAAACCAGGCCACAGCACACACAGAGAGAGAGAGAAACATACTGTCCAAATATTGATCTGCAGATATCGCATGACCAAAATATTGGCTGATAGATATCGCATGGCCTTGCCTCATAGCCTCATTTGAGCATGTCGCTCATCAATCACGCTGTAACCGATACATCCAGGGTTCAGCTCATCTGCCATATCGTCTTCTGACCACATACTGTGTGTCCACTTTCAACTCAGCCCTCATCTCGAGCATAATCAATAACAACCTGCCAATGAAGTTGAAATACAAAACCACCAACGGTATATATATATATATATACATACATTTGTGTAAAAAAACAAAACAAAAAAGAGTGAAATTGGAGAGCACTACTTGCTTTCACTTGCTGCATTTTGATGTCCTCAACAGAAGCAAATCCAAAACCATCACACAAGGCCAGACCCAGTTCAGGTTACTGCAAAGTACTGTGACACCAAGTGAAAGCAAGTAGAAGAAATGAGGACGATTAAAATAATGGCGGCAGCAAGACCACGACAACATATACAAGAGTACAGAAGACACAGTAGAACAGGAGGGAAGAGGAGGGTGGCGAACATCAGAGGGAGGTCCCGGCAGAAATAAGAAGGGGCCGGGAAGAAGCAGAGGGAACTGATTGGATTGTCAGATGATGAGAGGGTCAAGCCAGAGAGAGACTTCAGGAGTGTTTGAAGCGCAGACGTACAGGCCCACAGCAGTACACTGTAGAGAGCAGGGGGGGGTAAAGAAAAGAACAGGTGAGATTTGAGATGGATAGAACTTTAACATTGCATTTGACAGGGATGGCGATGAAGGCAGCAAAAACCTAATCAGAAGGAAAGAAATTGATGGCAGCTAAAAATGATAGTATATGTGGCCATTTAGCCTGGTCATGTACATTAGGTTTGGCATCACTCAACAATGTCTTCCATTATGCATCCAATATCCTGTACTGGATAAATGCAACACAAAAGGCACTCAAGTTGATTGTTGTTGACCCCAGCCCTGACCTTTTGGACCCAGAAGGCATAACAGGTTGACATTTATACATATGAAGCACCTTGACCGCACATGGACCCACTATCACTTAACAACTCAGCGGCCCGGGCTGCTGATGGAGAGATGGAAAAGCATGTGAGGACAAAGTGCAGTATTCACATACATACATATACACACACACACACACACACACACACACACACACACACACACACACA